CTTGGGGTACATCTGAGAACAAGGAGAAGCCAGAGCCCATTCCAGCAGCAGCAGACGGGCCCTCCATGATAAATGTGGTAAATAAGGAAATTTCGGAAACTTCCGTAGTGTGGCAGAGGCATTAGGTGCTGTGGGTAAAAAAAATAGATCAGAGGGACAGAAGGTGCTTCATGGGTCGGTGGCCTGTGAGCTGAGGACAGAGACTGCCCAGCAGAGGGGACAGCCTTGTAAAGCCCGAAGTAGAGCATGTCTGGTGTCTTCGACAGCTGTAAGAGGCCAAGCACTACGGCGCACACCGGTAATCCCAGCATTTTGCACGCTGCCTGGCACCAGGATACAGGAACAGGGGAGTGGGGGACCAGGTTGCTGAAGGCAGAGAGAGAAGGGGTGTGCACTTCACGTTGGGTCTTACAGGCCAAGGTAGGGACTTTGGCTTTTGAAAATTGCCAGAGTTTTTTGAGCAGAGAAGTCACATGAGCTGACTGCTGTGTGGCAGGAGTTGCCTGAAAGAGGCCAACCGTCTACACAAGGTTCCCAGGTGACCCTCCAGGAGGGCAGCTCCCTCCAGGGGGATGGCAGTGTGGTGCTAGAAGTGGTGAGATTCTGGATGCACTTTGGAAGTAGATAAGCCAACAGGGACTCTCTGATGGACTGAATGTGGGAGACGAGAGAAAAAAATTCACTGCTTTCACTATCAGTATCCCCGTGCTGCAGGTTAGAAATGAAGGCACTCTGCTTAGGTGACATGGCCAAGGTCTTGCAACTCTGTACAGACAGAGACAAACCCAGGCTTGACAGTGGCTTTATTGTGACCTTGTTCTCTCATAGTCTAGCAGTACCACACCTAGGTTGTTTGTTCTCAGCACAAAGTGTCTGGAACAGTCTGTGATTAGAAATAGAAACTGCGGTGGGGAAGTAGGAAAAACACATTTCCATCAGCCTTCTTGGTTCCCTTGTGTAAGTATAAACGTCCAGTCTGTGCATATGTCAAGGTCCAACTGGTAAGAGGAGCATCTTCTCTTTCTCTCTCTCCTCCCTCCCTTTCCCCCAACCTTCCAGCTCGTAGCTCACCTCTACAATTCTGTTATTCACCTGACACCTTCCCTCAGAAAGGACTTGAGGTCCCTACCCTTACTCTCCTTCACACCTTCACAATCTTAGGCACAGGGAAGGCCTGGAGAGAGAAGCCGCCCTGCCTACCTACAGTCTGAAGGAGCCAGGGTCACCAAAGCCAGTCCATGACTTTATTTCAGGGAGACTTGAATAGAAAGTGGGCAGTAGGCAGGTAGTATAAGCTAAGG